TATCTCTCTCGCTAGCTTCATGAACTCATTGACCGCTGCTTCCATTTGTACCGAGGAGAAGAGCAGTCCGCTGAGTGGATTGATTGCAGCTCTGGAGCATTCCGGTGTGAGGCGTGGGGCGGCTGACCATTGGCGCTCGCTACACTATCTGCCGTAGCGATGGATCCCTCGTAGACGGATTTGGGTGAGTGACTATTGTTGTATACTTCTACGAATATATGAATCACTCGCGCTCGTTGCGCATTTCGATGGCGAGTTCGTTGAGCATTTCTGCACTCGGCGGTCGGTTGTGAATGAGCTAGAGACACGTTGAGCTTGTCCTGCATGGCGTAGGACGACATGTTACCTTGCACATAAAGGTGAGGATCTGAACTTTGCCCACCTCGGCGAACGCGCGGGCGCCGTATGTGAAGAACTTGATGCGCTTCCCGTCGCCGTCAATCTCCGTGTCGGACGCGAGGTACATCTGAGCTTCGAACGTCTTGATGTGCTGCTGGACGTCGCCGAGCTGCGGGTGACGACCAGGCGTGTTGGTGACCGAGCTGTCGACGAGCAAGAGCTGCTTCCAGAGGTCCTCTACACAAGATCTTTGCATGCAGCTTGAACCAAGCGCGACACACCTTCGACGAGGCGGCGGCTCGGCGCGCACCAAATGAAGGCGAGGATTGTCATGAGCAGGCCGCGCGTGACCTTGCCATACGCCTTGTTGACGTGCAGCAAGTGGGCTTGGTCTTGGATCGCATTGACGATGAGGTAAATGTCCTTCTTCCCGCTGCCATTCGGAAGGATCTCGTCGACGGCGACGACCTTGTAGCCAAAGACCTTTTCCAATTCGGCCGACGCCAGCTTGAGAAAGTACCTAGAGCAAGCCATGCCCACGGATTCAAGACGTTGCACCCGTACCGGCTGACCTTGGACTCGTTCGGTAGCGCTTCCTTGCCAATGTCCGCGAACCGCACTGGAAGGTTGGCTTGGGCCTTGTAGAGGAGGAAGCGCACGACGCGCGCCGTCAAGTCGTTGATCGTCTACGAGCGCGATTGCAGCCTTGGCGGCGCTTGCGGGTGCTCGTACCTTCTTGGAGAGCTGGCCAATGCGCGCCGGGACGCCCTTGCCTTCCTCTTGCGGCTCGTTCACCACAGTCGGCGCTTGCGACAGCGGCTCAGGCAGCGACGGCTGCGTAAAGTCGAGCGCGCCCTCGTCGTCGTCTGACATGAGCGGCGCCGGCTGCGACATCCGCTGGCGCTGCGTGGGCACGTCGTCGCCAGAGAACTCGTCGTCCGAGTCCATCGATGAACGGCGTACGATGCGCTTCCGCTTCCCGTTGTTCACCTAGCACGTGCCATGAGCCCTCGTTGCCAGCGCTCCTCGTGTACCATGGCGCGACCAAAGATGAAAATGGTATCGGTTTCCGCGGGCAACGGCAACCCGCAAGAACGAATGATTTGGATTTTAATCCCTTTCGCTACATATAGAGAGTCAACATAAAACATCAGAATTAAATGACACCGCAACGTTCCCGCCGATTTCAAGTCCGCACGAGCCCACAAGCCGCCAACGACGCCACGTCAGCAGACAAGAGACTTCCTGGCACTTGCAAGTGATACGAAGCCCATATAGCCCTCGCGGACAGGAGGCTCATGGCTCCAAGGGCTGCTCGCACAGCAGCGGGCAGGCCAGCGACAATACTGTACAGAACTAACTGCGAAGGCTGCTTGCCGTCGCTTGCACTTCAGCTTGCACATACATCGACGCTAGCACCGACAGCGGCGTGGTTGAGCTTGAGCGAGTCGTTGCGGCGCCCCAAAGGTCGGCTCCACGGCGGCGCGCCTTGCCGTGTCCGCTCAAAGTACGTTGTAGCGGTGGGTGGTACCTTACTCCTATGGCTCGCCATCGTCCTCGCAAGCGTCGTCGATCATGGCCGGCAACGTTCTTTTCGACGCGCGATCCTACGGATGACGGCCGAGCCGGTTAACGCCAGTGCTGAATTTGCTGCATGGTGGGCGAGATCCACCGCTGTGTGCAGTGCGGGGTCGACTACGACGCCGACTCAAATGTCCAAGGCGCTTGCAGCTACCACCCCGTGAGCGACTACATCTATGGGTCGTGGGACTGCGTCCTCTCGTGCTGCGGTACCAAACTCTCTTCGTACGACCCGTTCCCAGCAAGCGGCTGCGCCAAGGCCCTGCACGCCCATGAGCACCACGACACGTTCCCGTACCTCAACCGCATCGGACACTTTCGCGCAATGCTGCGCGACCGCGACGAATGGCTGCGTCTCGAGCAGGACGACTACACGGTCGCCGCGGACGGCAGCGACATTGCGTGCCGCGTCTCGGGCCACGTCGGACGCCTCCGCGACGGCGAGACCCTCGCCGTGTGGGCAACGCAAGGCGGTATCACGGTCGCGCTCCAGACACTGTCGACGTCCGAGCTCTTGGCGGCGACGCCGCCGCCGACATGGACCGTCTCGGAGACGACAACGCGCCTCAACGATGCCTGGAACAAGACGGTCATCCGCTTGGGCCAAACGTGGCGCGTCGAAGCCGCGTGGATGGCGTGGGACACGGCGACTGCGACGCGGACGCTCCAAGTGCGCGTCAAGGCGCCCACGAGCAGCACCCCGAATGTCTCGGTACGTTCGTCGCCTTGGCTTTTGAGTCCTATGCATGGAATGTAGCAAGTGGCCTTTGGCGTTGAGACACTGGCTGTCGAAAATGTCACGATTGTCGCGGACGACGCCACGAACCTTGATGACGTGGCACCCCGTGCGCCGTCCACGCGTGCGTGCCCACCCCGCCTCGCGTTTGAAGCGATCCCAGAAGCCTTCTTCGAGCGTACGACAGCATGGGTGGCGTTGACGTGACCCCTTTTGATTAGAGACCCGTCCGGCGCTACCCGTGTGTGCGTCGTCGGGGACGCTGCCGCTGCGACTCAAGCTCTCCAAGCCCCTCGTTGCCAACGATGCGCGCTACCACTCCAAGTATATACGCCAGGAAGCGATTGCAGACTCACGGCAATGACTAGGGCGGACCTCTTTGAAGCTGAGTTTCTTGTCGTGAGTCTTCAAGAGCACGACGTCATCGCCACAACGTCGGCGCTTTCGGCCGAGCGCAAGCACATTCTCGAGATGGTCCATGACCGAACGATCAGCGTCGACGAGGCTGAGCGGCTCTTGCTCGCGACCGCCAAGACGGCGCCACTGGCCGCGACCTCGGACGGCAGCCTCACGCTCGTCGACGCCGCATGCCAGCTGAGTGTCGACGACGGCGTGTCCTGGACGACCGCGACCAACGTGACGTGGGACAACCATGACGCACTCTTGCTCAAGGTGCTGCGCGGCGACGTGCTTCGGTGCAAGGCCTCAGCCCTCTTCCCGGCTCCGACCAAAAGCGGCCAGTGGCGCAACCAGTAGAGTGCTCCGTCGTAGAGTTGGGATATTCATGCGCATATAGGTCCTTCTTGACGCGCCGCATGACGACGCCGGCGCGCCTGCGCTGGACGGTCGAGAGCGCGTTTGGCGAGACCTGCACGCTCGAGACGTCGTATTTGAACCCGCCGCTGGCGCCGCTGCCGACCAAACACGTGTCTAACGACTTCTTTTTCGCGCACATTGATACTATCGACGAAGGGTTTGAGCGCCGCTTTGTGCGGGTACGATCGTGATCTCTTGTATCAAATTGATAAATTGATACTAGATCCAACGGCCCACCAAAGACGACGAGATAAGCTCGCCCCGCGTGCTCTGGAAAATGGTCTCGGCGACCGGGCACACGACGACGCACTCGGTGACGACGCGGACGCTGCGCAAATGGCGCCTTGAGCTCGCTGCCGGACAGACTGAGCTGCCTCTGGTTAGCGTGAGCGAGGATGGCTGTGTCGAGTGGACGGGCCTCTTTGACGCAGACGCGCGTTTGGTCGCGCTCCGCGTCAAGCTCCTCGTGGACGATGCGGTCGCAGAACACACGTGGGACGTACCGTGGACGCAAGTTGCAGCGACCTTGTCCAAAGCAGCCGCTTGAAGGCTGCGCTGCATTCTCGATTGCTAGCAATGTACCGAACGAAGAGCAATGTAGTAATCTTGCGCAGTTCATTTCGGCGACGGCACTTGTCGACGTGGGTTCTGGTCAAGCTAGACTCATTGCCGAGTCGAGATACGTTCAAAGTACCTGCTTCGATTCCTGGCGACAGCATCATCCGACCAACAGCTGTCCCGTGATTGCGGGACCCGAAAGCAACGACAGCCAACGTCAACACGTTCGGAAGCGGTTCAGTGCGTGTTGCACTTGGTTGTACAGTATGTGCGGTGTCGACACCGTTGGTTTGAGGCGCCGCCCCTTCCTGCATGGCTTCACATTGGGTCGTCGCTTGCGTCGACGTCGTGTGTGCGCCCGTGCCGTGCGATGGTCCTTCATGGGCGGTGTCAAGCGGACAGTCGCCCTGCTTGGGCCGTTTCATGGTGCAGCCTGCAGACTGGAAAGTGCAATCTCTTTCGCGCAAACTGCAAAGTGCGTTGACAACGTCTGTATGCTGGCTTTTTCTGAGCCGTTGACAGTCGCCACCACATCAGGGGTCGACAGAGACTTGCTGCAGAGAATCAAACGGCAAGGACGATCCTCCTTCCCGCTCTAACGCAGTGTGGCAGGGTGCACTCGGCGGGGCGCAGACCCGGCAAGACGAGACGTTGCCTCCTCGTACTGCTAGCTATACGTCGGGTTCGCGATACACCATTTCGATGGCCCTAGTAGCTAGTAGCCAGTCTCTTGATTGCGGTTGAAGGACGCGCGCGACTGTTTCACGACGCGAGCGCGGGTGCCTGCGCTACAGTAGGACGTGGCGAGATGATGGGACAGTGGCCAGCACCCGAACGTCGACGGATGTTCTATTGGGTGCAGGTCCGACTCGACCGCATTTTTCCACTGGCAGCATGGCGCACACGTTGGGCTTTGCGGGCAAAGCCAGCGTCCACGTGCAGCTCGAGACACCGACGTGCGCGGCGACGGACCTGCTCATTGGCACAGTGAGCGTGCGCGTGACGCAGCCCGTCGCGTGCAGCGGTACACAACAGAGCGCCCATCGCCGTGGCTAATGCACTCTTGTAGAGATTGTGGTCATCGTCGCCGGGAACGAGCGCGTTGCGTGGACCGAGGCGTGGACCGAGAAGGAGGCGGCGGGGCACACCGAGATGATCTTTGACGGTCGCGAGTTCTTTCGACAAAAGGTACTTGGGGCTTGCGACGCTGCTGTCGATGATTGATTGCCTCGTAGATTGTACTCTGCAGTGTCGAGAGCGAGCTCGCGCCAGGCCATTACGCCTACCCGTTCCAGTACCGCATGCCCGCCGGCCTTCCGGGCAGCTATGACAACGAGAACGACCAGGACGTCCAGGCCATCATCGAGTATGGCGTCGAAGGCGCGCTGTGCGTCCGCGGCGTCCTCGCCCAAGACGCTTCCGACCGGCACGCGTTCACCATGTATGCAGTCCCGTCCCTGAGCGAGACGCCAAGTGTCGCCGAAAAGGTGCAGCTTTTGCGCTCTTTTTGCTGCCTGCGCCACGGTCAGTGCACGCTGCGTGTCGCCCTCGACAAGTGCGGCTACGGCCTCGGCCAAGTGCCCATCGTACGTACCGTAGATGCTGCTGCTGACGATCAACTGACCGATCGATAGGTCCAGTGCGACGTAAAAAACTCATCGACCAAAGACATGCGCGCAATGCGGTTCGAGCTGGTCCGCGTCGTCGAAGTGTTTGCACGCGGCCGGATTCGGTCGCTGCAAACCGTGCTCTGCGACGAACTCTTCTCGGGCGTTCCCGCGGGCCGTGTGCTCTCGCAGCCCCAGCCCTTTTCGCTCCACGGTCGCGGTCTCTACCCTAGCACGAGCGGCAACTTTGTGTCATGCAGCTACTACATTGAAGTCGATTTTGACATTCCGACGTGCCCGATTGTGGAACTCCGCTTGCCACTGACGATTGGCGCACCGATTCCGGACGCCTTTTCCCCGCCGGAATAGTTAGTTGTCACCACCGTATACATAATTGTCAACGAATGGTCTTGTATTTATAGCATACTAACGTCGTGTGTGGTCTCTCAGATACCGGTGCGGCTTGTCGGCAACTCAAACGGTCCTGTCTTGACCAAGCATCCTGTGGCGGAGCTAAACGCCATCGCGCTGCCACGTCATCGAACCAGTAGGACGTCAAATGGGTTCAAGAGAAGGAACTGTGCGGATTGTAAGCACGTGAAAAATACGATTTATGAGTGTGATATACTTGCACGCCATACAAAATATAGGACTAGAGACACAGTGCCAGGAGATTTGCACGTGTGTTTTATGTGAGAATCAAGAGCCATTAAGTGGTTATCCGGATGACACAAAATTTGAAATTGCGTGCGACCGATGGCAGCGTTCGTGGGCGAGCTCCTGGGCTTGCGCGGGAAGGGATCGATCGCGATCGTCGTCGACAAGCCCCACTACATCTCGGGCGAAGTGGTCTCTGGCTCGCTCCAAGTCGACGTACTCGAGCCCATCGAATGCAACGGTGCGTCAAATGATGACCGTCGAAACCTCAACTGCATGGCTAGAGGTCGTTGTCGTCATTTCGGGCAAGGAAAAGGTCCACTGGTCCGAGACACACGACGAAGGCTCGGGCGACAACCGTCGGTCCGTCACGCGCACGTTCTCGAGCAGCCGCTGCTTCTTGAACCAGGCAGTACGTCTCGCTATACACTCGTCCACCGAAGCCATCGCCATGAAATAGATTGTGCTTTACAGTGCGCAACACCACATTTCGCCCGGCCAATACATCTACCCGTTCCAGTACCAACTGCCCACGGGGTTGCCTGGCACGTACGACAACCAACGCCACGACGGCGTCGACGCACGCATCCAGTACAGCATGAAGGGTCGGCTCCGCGTCAATGGCTTCTTCAGCAAAGACGTCAAACGACGCCAAACGTTTGTCGTCTACGCGCAGCTCGCAGGCTACGTCGCACCAAGCGTTGCCGAGAAGACGCAGGTCGTCCGGTTCCTCTGTTGCTTCAACCAAGGCACGTGCTACCTTCGCGTCGCCATGGACAAGAACATGTACACGCCTGGTGACGTGCCCATGGTACGCATGCTTGTGGGATATATGGAGTCTTCAGCGTACGTAGATTCTGTGCGATATCCGCAACGAGTCGGCGAAAGACGTGCGCAGCATGCGCTGCGAGCTGGTCCGCATCGTCGACGTCATGGCCGACGGAAAGCACCGCACGTTGCAAAAGACCATCTGCGGCGCGACGTTTCCGGGCGTCGTCGCCGGCGCGCAGCTCTCGCAGCCGCAGCCGTTCCAGCTGCTTGGCCACGGCGAAGCGCTGTACCCTAGCACGCGTGGGAGCCTCTTGGGCTGCCGCTACGAGATTCGCGTCACATGTGACATTGCGTGGTGCCCCGATGTCCAGCTGGAGCTTCCGATCGCGCTCGGTGGTCCTTTCCTACTGCGCGTCGATCCATTTGTGGCCGCCTAGTGCAGTGTAGAGAATGCAGCAAAGAGCTTTCCCAGGAAACGCCATCATTACGCTGGCAGTGTTGGGCCAATATGGTACAGTGCAGTGTGTACAATGAAGTCCGTCCCATTCTGTCTTGACGCGCAGGCTCATGCTTCAAAGCACTCAGTAATACGTTTGTGCGAGGACGTTGCCGGAGCGAGAGAAGAATTGGTCCGGACAGGCGTGGGTCCGCGAACTGAGTTGCAAACCTCACTGGTGTAGCCAATCAAACACTTTAACCGACTTGGTTTTAGCCAATGGGAAGTGCGTATCACCCAACATCCTTCATGGCGAGCTGTCCAACGCCCACAAGTCATTTGCTTCCCGCTTGTTGGTGATGCAGTGCGTTGGCCTGTGGTTCGGCGCCACGGACAAAGGCTCGTTGTACATTTCTCTGGACAAGTCGCACTACTTTCCAGGTGACCTCGTGACGGGCGCGCTCCACGTCACGGCCCTTCAGCCGCTGCAGTGCACAGGTTCTGAACGGCACGTTTGCTGCCATCATACCACAATGTTCTAGAGCTTGCCGTCTCCGTCGCAGGCAGCGAAGAGGTCAGCTGGACAGCAATGTGTCATTCGCCGCCTGTCGACAAGGGCAATGTGTCTGCGACTCTCGACACGACCAATGTGACGTCGACGATCGAGAAGAAGAATGCGTCGTCGACGATGGAGACGCACAAAACGAGCCGCCGACTGCTGCAGAAAGAGGTTGGTAGAGTGTACTTGGTTGAGTCTCTCAACAATGGTACTAGTTTGTCTTTCACAACATTCCGCTGCAACTCCTCCCGGGCGACCACGTGTACCCGTTCCAGTTTGAGCTGCCGACAGATCTGCCAGGCTCCTTTGACAACAACGACCACGGCGGTATCAAGGCCAAGATTAGCTACACCATCCGCGGCACGCTCTCCCTCGACAGTCTTTTTCGACGCGGTTTGACCGACACCAAGAGCCTCTTTGTTTACATGCGTCCGATTGGGTTCATTGCGCCGAGCGTGGCCGAGGCGAACGAAGCGATCCGGTTCTTGTGTTGCTTTCACTACGGGACTTGCCACGTGCAAATTGCACTCAGCAAGACCTTGTATGGCCCCGGCGACATCCTGGAGGTTTTGCGGATAGTTCAAAATGGTTTTATAGCGCGGTTGTAGAGCCAATGTTCAATTCGCAACCTCTCCGCCAAAGACGTGAGCAGTGTGCGCTACGAGCTCGTGCGGCTCGTTCATGTGGCTGCAGGCGACACGCGCAACAGGTGCTCCAAAGCCATTTGCTCGGCATCGTTTCCTGGCGTCGCTCGGGGCGAGCACGTGGTGCAGACGCACTCGCTCCAGCTGCTTGGCCACGACGGAACCGTCTTGTACCCGAGCACGCGTGGCGAGTTTGTCTCGTGCAGTTATGTACTCAAGGTCTCGTGCGCTATCGGCTGGTTTACCAGCATTCAATTGGAACTACCTCTGGCCATCGCGGTGCTATGATAGCTACTTAAATGGGTGCGCCGCTGTAAAGGCCCCTACGATATGCTTGAAGCGTTGCGCTTGAAACCACTCGGGTGGTATTTTCAATCGTTAGGAATGAAATAGCCTAAATCCGTCCTACTTCCTACTTGAATTCTTTGGCGTCTCTATCGCATGCCAGCGACACAACTCGTTAGTTCCCTCGAATTGCGGATCTACGTGTATTTATCGAGTGGATTCAAAGTCAAGTCTGGATTTGATGCGCAACTGGATATTTTCGGCGTGGACGACGTGCGCCATGTTCACGTCGCACATGGCCG